GGATGGCAGGTAACACGACAGGTAACAAAGTACATGTGTGGATGGCAGGTAACATGACAGGTAACAAAGTACATTGCAAGAACACATCCTCATAACAAGTTTGTTGAAACAGCAAGTCTGCTGCAGGTTTGTTACAACTAGTATGTTTTTTTATGTGTGTAATATGGTTGCAAGAACACATCCTCATAACAAGTTTGTTGAAACAGCAAGTCTGCTGCAGGTTTGTTACAACTAGTATGTTTTTTTATGTGTGTAATATGGTTGTAACCTAAATCCTTCCCTCCGACTTTTACAAAGTGTCTGCCGCTGAACAGAAGCAAAGATCTCAGCAAGCATACACTACCCTAAGACAAGGAAAATATATTATCTACAAAAATACTCTGTTGATCTGCAGGAAATTTTTGTCTCCAGGTTGTGCTCTCAGGAAGAAAATTATTTTTTCATGCCCTGGTCATGCAAAATATCTACTGACTCCACGTAACAAAGTACATGTGTGGATGGCAGGTAACACGACAGGTAACAAAGTACATGTGTGGATGGCAGGTAACACGACAGGTAACAAAGTACATGTGTGGATGGCAGGTAACATGTGTGGATGGCAGGTAACACGACAGGTAACAAAGTACATGTGTGGATGGCAGGTAACATGACAGGTAACAAAGTACATGTGTGGATGGCAGGTAACATGACAGGTAACAAAGTACATGTGTGGATGGCAGGTAAGACGAAAGGTAACAAAGTACATGTGTGGATGCCTGTAAAACGACTAACTCTTTATTATGGACAGTTCATATTTCCCTTAAAAACCTCGGTCAGGAAATTTTCGAACAGAACATCTTGCAGGAAATTTTTGTTATTTCACATATGCCATATAATTTACTGGTACGTTTACACATGTTTTGCAAGTCAAGATCGTGTTGAGGTTGAAGTTTGTCACACTTTACAACAACATACAATCTATCAAACCTTTATATTTGAATTACACAGGAAATTCTTATTTTTGAATTTTGCTCCAAGGGCTGTTCATTTTGACACATTCATTCATTCTTGACCAGTAAATTTAGCAACCACCCACGGTGACCCACCCATGATTTTTAAAGGGTTAATTCGCACAAAAATATTTCTGTCTGACCTGTCAGTCTAACAATTGGATTGAAATATAGAACCAGTTCTATTTTCATGCAATGTTACATGAAAAATTCAAATATCCAAACATATATCACCCTCCTTCCCTCTTATTAAACAGGTCAATTCAGATCTGCAAACAAGTTGTAACAAGGTTGTTGTCAAGCCGGTATCAGGATGTGTTCACACTGCTTGACCTCAGCTGACCAGTGTGAGAAGTCTGCAACAAGTTGTTATCACCTTGTTACAAGGTTGATGACAACAGACTTGCTACAAGTTGTTCCAACAAGACTAATACAGGATGTTCGTAACAAGTAATGCTACAAGCTTGTTGTTATCAACTTGTTAGATGCAAACAACTTGTTGGAACAAATTGTTGCACAAGTCTGTTGGCCTCATCAACCTTGTTACAAGATGATAACAACTTGTTCTAGACTTATCAACAAGTGTACACAAGCAGTGTGATTGTGCAAACATATCTTGTTGAACAAGGGCTTTCAGGATCACATGCTAAACACTAGATCAATTCATGTGAATCTAATTAGATCATATGAACAGGAATCCAATAATCATATCTGACAAACTGGACAATATGAATGCGCCTTAGTAGTATTAAATTACATAAAAATTATCAAATCTGTGGGCCTGAGTTACTCAGGTCACCATCAAAGAGATTATCTGACGAGTTGTTTCTTTGTTTAAATTCATCTAGAGGAATAATCAAATATAAATTGCGCTAGCTACCATAGTTATCACAAACCAGGTTGGAAAATATGTCTATCTTCGCTTACATGCAACTGCAAGTTGGAGCTGCGAGTAGAGAAAAGCTGTGAGTACAAGTGGTGAGCAACAAGCCGACAAGTATGGGTTGATAAAATGAGATGAAATGAAGTGTTTACCAAGAGATGAATTGTCCAAAGCAATTAAAGTAAGAAGTCCTGCGGAGTCACAATAAATTTTTGCATGTGAGCAGACTTAATCTCATATTTGAAAACAGAGAGGCTGGTGCAAGTCCACCTCAAATATATTATATTAAAATGGCATTCACCAGCAGTATTCCAATTTTTCCGAACACGGAAGGTAAAAATTTAACCAATATCTGAATATCTATGTTAAAATATGCCTGCACAAACATTTTTATTGCTTTACTAGAAATGCAAGTGAAAAAAATTTAAATGTTCAAGAACTCTAAAGTCAGGATTTTCACATATTCAGTGATGCTGTAAATGTAAACCCACAGCGGCCCAATCTCAGAATGAATGATCAGGTGTTGCAGGGTTTTTTAACGGTTTTTATAAACAAATTTATAGTCAATCAAAACTATTCTAAAAACATTCTCAAATTAGTCAAATAAATACATTTTAACAATAAGATATAGTTGACATGATAATATAACACCTTTGCATTCTTTTAATTACTCCATGAGCTCATTTAGAGCGGTTGATGTAACATTTTCTATGGCCTACATTGTGTGTGCTCATTATATATAATATACTGTACATGTAGCAGTAGAAGGCTAATCATTGGCGGCACGACCGCATCGCCTTCAAAGTCAAATATCTCCGCTCAAATTTGTCATACGGCAAAACAAATTCGATTACATCTTTTCACAAAGACTTCTCTTTCTAAATAATATGGTTTGATCGTAGCTTGGGCAAATTTAGCGACAAACACAACCAAAATCTCCTCAATTTCGGATATTTTCAAAATACTTAGAGCTGCTCGGGCACGATCGTGGATGTGACGTAATCAATACATACTAACAATACCGCTTACCCGGGATGGGACAGCATATCAAATACGACGATAATTTGTCGCTTGATGCTGTCCCACCCCACGTTAAGGCGGTATTGTCAGTATGTATTGATTATGTCACATCCACGATCGTGCTTGAGCAGCTCTAAGGGACCGTTCATTAATTAAGGAACAGGGGGCTGGAGGAAAATTAGGGGTGCCAAAACAATCTATGGTTAGAAGGGGGCATTTAAAGTGTTTTCAGCATGAAAGGGGGGGCTGCTAAAATTATTTGTGGTAATTATTAATATTTTAGGTTGACCAGTTTCAAATATTAAGCCTTCACAACCAAAACCATTTGATGAAATGGTTTGCAATTTTAACAGTTTTAAAGCTTTTATGTTTGTGGTGAAGAAATTGGAAGCGTTTGAATATGCTTATGTTAGTCTGGAAAAATGTTTTGACTAATATGCTTATGTTCGTCCGGAAAATCCCCCCCCCCTCCGTCGACAACATTTCGACTTGGTGAAAATAAATAGGGGGGGAGGGTTGTGAAAAAAAATGTCGGTTAGAAGGGGGGGTCATGAAAAAATTAAAACCTTAATGGGGGGGGGTCATGGAAAACTTGCACTGTTTCTGCTCTTTTCCTCCAGCCCACCCTGACGTATAATTAATGAACGGTCCCTAAGTATTTTGAAAATATCCAAAATTGAGGAGATTTTGGTTATGTTCGACGCTAAATTTGCCCAAGCTACGATCAAACCATATTATTCAGAAAGAGAAATCTTTGTGAAAAGATGTAATCGAATTTGTTTTGCCGTATGACAAATTTGAGCGGAGATATTTGACTTTGAAGGCGATGCGGTCGTGCCGCCAGTGATTAGCCTTTTACTGTTACATGTATATTATATATAATGAGCACACACAATGTAGGCCACAGAAAATGTTACATCAACCACTCTAAATGAGCTCATGGAGTAATTAAAAGAATGCAAAGGTATTATACTATCATGTCAACTATATTTTATTGTTAAAATGTATTTATTTGACTAAGTTGAGAATGTTTTTAGAATTGTTTTGGTTGACTATAAATTTGTTTATAAAAACCGTTAAAAACCCGCAACACGGCTGATCATTCATTCTGAGATTGGGCCGCCTGTGGTAAACCAAACAGTTTTGAACTAAGGCCAAGGAAACTAAAACATTACAGTATGCATGTCATATAACATTTGCCGCAAGTTACCATCAGCTCAGCTGTGAGTGCCCCACAAATTTGTTGTAAGCAATCAGTTCTCATTCACCAGTGTGGAAAGTTTGTATCACACGGTAGATATCTCCGGGAGGCAATTTTGATGCTTTCTATATAATTACTATTACATTTTTTAAATCTCTGGCGCACAATTTACAAACTTTCCAGTCAGGCTCATTCGTACTCTAGCTTGAAGCAAATGCACATTTTCCAACTTGGATGACAAACAAAGATTATTGCCAAGGGCCGGTTGTTCAAAAACCAATTAGCTTAACGCTAGGTTAACAACGCTAGGTTAACAACGCTAGGTCAACCTAAAATTCAAAGCAAACTCCGCAACAGCTTGTTTATGAATTTAGAAATATTTCTTCAGAAATCTTGGCTGGATTAATGGAAGTTTTCTTCTCTGAAGTTTTCAAATAAACAGACATACAGAAATACAAACACTGGGTTAAATTTGAACCCAAGGTTAATCAAGTGGTTAGTCAAGCGCTAATCCAGCTTTGAACAACTGGCCTGAGGAGGTGAGGAGGGGGTTGACAAGAGAAGTGCCATATATATTTGCATATATATTTGCAACACACATACCTGCTTTGGTAGAGTAATCTTGCTTTCTTCACATCAATTGTTTCGCCTTGTCGTCTCTGGTATGGCGGTATTGGTGGGCCCATGTCAGGTCTATCGATAATGTTATCAGAATATCTACAAATTGCTGGATAAGAGTTCATATGGACTGTTTTAATACGGCACAAACAAGATAACTGACCCCTCAGAAAGCTCGCCATCTTGAATATAACCTGCACTCGGGCAGAGATGTATGACTCGTACTGTAGTCGGGCAACTCTTGCGGGAAATTTGGAAGGAAATAGAATGGGAAATAGCTAAGAAAGGAATTCTTGTATTCTTTATACAACAGCAACTTCAAAATAACTCGAAACCTATACTCGCTGCGACTTTTTAATAATACTGGTGAAATCTCGACGAAATTAAGAAAAATGGAACGGCATTTAAACAGTTTCCATTTATTTCAGTTCTACTATCTAGATATCAAAATTTTGTCAAAAATAAGGAATATGGGGGTCATTTCGAAGGAATTCTTACTAATGGAAGTAAAGCAAACACAAAAATAACAAAATTCAGTTCAAATCACAGGATTTCGAGCATCGCACTCGACAGAATGTGGAAGGTTTTGTAGTGATTGAAATTTCGAATTTATTTTATACATTTATTTTTTTTAGATCCAGCCATAAGTAGCTGCGAAGAACGCAACTGTGGACCCTGTCTGGCAGGAAGTGAGACAGCCAAAATCATGTTATTTACCAATATCCCCTTACATTCGCATACCAGTGATGAACTTGCTGCCAGAAGCGTCTGCGAGCAAGCTAAGCAACTATAGACTCTGATTGCGCTGCACCAGAATCGCAGTGCCAGTTGCCGCAGACGTCCTGACACATAACTGCATCGCCAAGGTGATACACAGCATCATCCATGTGCAGCCATCCATGCCAAGACACAATTATTCATACTGATATATTCTGAGGTAGAATTAACATTTGCCAGCTGCCAGTAATTCCCAGCGAAATATTTCATCGTTAACGTGAGATCAAGCTTTATTGTCTATACGAATGGCACAAGCAAGTAAAGAAGCAGAATTCAGGCTGTATTACTGGCCAGGCTTCCCTGGTCGTGGTGAGTTTATGCGGCTGTTGTTTGCTGAGACTCAGACGCCATATGTTGACGTGTTTGAAGGGAAAACCAAGGAAGAAGCGGTTAAAATGGGCTATGGCAAGGGCAAAAAGCATTTTGCTTTCCCTGTCCTAGAACATGGCGATATCTACATCAGTCAATCCTCAGTTATTTGTCGTTATCTTGGCAAGAAGTTAGATGGCGGACGACTTTACCCCAAGAGCGAGAAAGATCGTTTGCAAGCTGAGATGATTATGGGGGGAGTTGATGGTGTTGTCGAAGAAGGATTACGAGCGTGGCACGCTATCAATACGAATGCTAGTTATTACGAACAGAAAGAAGCGACCCAGCCGTTTATTGAGTATTACAAAACGAAACGCCTTCCAAAGTGGCTCGATTTCTTTGAAACACTCTTGAAGGAGAATTTTAAGAAAACTGGCAAGTTATTGTTTGTTGGAGACGAGTTATCGTGGGTTGATATTTGCGTATTTCATGCTATAGATGGAAACCTTTTCGAGTGCCCTGAAGTGTTTGAGAAAGAGCCTACTGAGTATGTAAAGAAATTTCATAATGCTATCCGGGAGAGACCAAATATAAAGGCATGGCTCAAATCTGACAAGCGGACCAAATTCACTCACACAGGTCCAATTGTGTAGACATTAACACTATAGTTGTGACGGTATATAGTTTCTTTGATGTTATAATTGAAACTGAGAAACAGTGACATCTGGCAAACGATTCAAACCTTAATACTGAATAAGCTACTGAAAGATAACTTTGATTATATGGCGGACTGGTGGATACATTAGGATTAACCATTACTGCCATTAGTGTGTTTATTATTTACTTCTACTATATTATCACAATTTTTGTATATTATCACAATAATAATTATAATGTTACTGTCATTTTTGAAGCAGTTGTTCATCATACAAGGTTACTCGGAGCATAGTTAGTAGAGGAGATGGTTTGGAAACTCGTTAGCATTACAATAAAATTAAAATAAACCTCATTATCTATGTTGTTCAGGTTTATGCAAAAATGTGGTCTTTCATCGTCACGTGCGTATTGTATTTTTCTCAAGTCCACCCAGTAGGAATGTTCAAAATGTCCTATTGTTAAAGTCAGGGATGGACAATTGGACAAAACCGTTGCCTTTGGCTGTTGAGCAAAAATACAATACGCACGTGACGATAAAGACCACATTTTTGCATAAACCTGAACAAAAACATATATAGTTAGGTTTATTGTAATGCTAATGAGTTTCCAAACCATCTCCTCTATTAACTATGCTCGAAGGCGCAGCAAGCAAGCTGGTTAGTTACCTTGGGGTAGGTATTTTTCGAGTTAAGCCCATGCCACGCCCTTTTTCGCCGGGGGCTTAGAGAACGAGAAATCGATAATATGTAAAAAACCGCGCCTGACCGCGTTGCATGCCGGTATAGTCCTCACTCCTCTGGGCATTCGAGTTAAGCTTCGACATTTGGTGGATGTAAACAAGTGACACGGGTATACCGTAATTATTCGAATAAACACCGCGGCGTTTATTAAACTTTTGGCGCTTAAGGTGCGGTGTTTATTTGAGGGTGGCGTTTATCCGAGGGCGGAGTTTATTGAAAATATGGAAACAACAACTGTAAATTTATTGTTTAATTAAAACTCGACTTAACCAATTTTAACACTTACCCAGAAAACTAAGAATAAAATTCATATGTCTTTTAAATTTATATAAATATACTATGGAAATTGAATTACTGTTCACTGTCTTATATGATGACTAAGTTTCATTCTAGTTCAATGATGATCTGATCTAAAACTCCACACGAGTCAGAACACGAGTGAACACGAAATGAACACGAGTGAACACAAATGGAACACGAGTGAACACGAATGGAACACGAATGGAACACGAATGGAGCACGAGTGAATCCACAATATACTTGCAAGATTACGTACTCGGGCTCTGTGCACGAGATTGTAACTGATAAAATGATGCTCCCATTATGCTTTGCACGC